AATAAAGTGACATATCACTACACAGAAATCTAAAACTCGGCTGAGGCACAATGCAGAAGTCAAAGGCCCACACTCCACAGTGTGAGGGGACTGAGCTCTCCAGCTGCTGCCAGCAAACCCACTTCCTACCTAGAAGGTGAACACTGCTGCTCTGGAAAACAAGACCCGTGCAAGCACCATCATTGAGTCCAGCATTCATGTACGGCCTAAAACAGCTGCATAACTAACCAGTATTCACCCACTATCACCACAATTCTTCAGAAAGAAAATCACAGGAAAATCTGATTTGTAGCCAGGAAGAGGGACATGAATTTACAATCCCAGCTCCAGCTACCTGGCAGTCTGAGTGAGTCAGGAAGATCGGAAGGAAGCTACCAGCCAGCCTGGACTACAAACTGAGACTGTGTCCCTACAGAAGACTAGGGGGAAAAAAACTCAGGCCAGAATTTAGCTCATTGACACTGTGCCTGCCTCGCAAGTGCAGGTAGTGAGTTCAATCACCAGTACGAAAAAAAAAAAAAGAACTGATTTGTATAGTAGGTAATTTTTAACTTCAGCATCCTAAACTTCCAGCATGGCTTGTTTCTGGCCTTGACACTATCACTACTACAATTTCATAAGTTAAAAAAATTCTCTCTTGAGCCAAGTGTGGTGGCGCAGGCCTGGAATCCCAGCACTTGAGGGGGGCAGATCCCTGTGAGTGATGCCAGCCTTGGCTACACACTGAATTCAAGGCCAGCCTGAACCGCATAGGAGACCAGCTAGAAAGCCCACAGCTGACTGACTGCACTCACGGCTGAGAGGGGATATTCCGAAGCTGCTTAACCACAGCTAGCACAAGGTCCTTCGATCTTGACTCACTCCCCTTAGCCTACTGAGAGATGGCAGCCGTTACCTGGAGCCACAGGTGCCCTGTCCTGGATCGAAATCTGAAACCACAGATGCGGGGATTAAAAGACATCTTAGCACCCTGAAGTAACAGAGGCTCTCCTCCACTGTGTCCTACTCCACTCACACTAATTCCTTCATCTTCCTCAACCAAAGGGACAAATTAAAGTCTCAGTGTCGCCAAGATGAAACCACAGACAATCATATGGAGAAAGAAAACCCACTCAAAATGGCAGCACTTCTGATCTGGCTGAACCATCGCTACGTTTTTAGGAAACAGAAGATCTCACAGAATAAACAAAATGGTGGAGGGTAACTACAGGTGCCTCTTCCCAAATTAAGCCTGTTCTTTGGAAAATAAAAACCACTGTTAAATTTCGTTACTTTTGTGGACAGGCATAATTTATGGGCCAAATTAATAACTGCAATCCCGTGCTGGTCCATTTAGTACAAAACTGAATTGACAAAAACTCAAACGGGAGCTCTGCCCACTTTGAAGCTACGGTAACACCTGATCTAGGCACTACTAATCCAGCTGCTAACTCTGGCCATGAGAAAACAAAATAAGGGTCCTTCTGTTCACCTGACTCTCCTCTGTGATTACCGATTTCACTGCATGAACTGCGTTAGCACACAGGCATCTGGTCATGTGTGTGTGCATGTGTGTCCCAGTGAGTGAACCTGGGGTCTTCACACTGAGCTATATCTCCTTCCCTTTTTTAACTTTTCATGTTTGTGACAGGGTCTCGCTAACTGAATCGCCCCGATTGGTCCTCCTGCCTCAGCCTCCCAGAGTGCTGGGATTATATACACCACCATGCCCAGGGTCATCACTTCTTTTATGAAGACAGAACAGTGAGCAGTCAGGGGAGTATTTATCTTGGAATAGAACTAGGTTAGGTGGAGAGAATGGAAGGACAGGTGCACCAGCACTCTGGAAGAACTATAAACAGCGGCCTTCTAAATGATAGTTTCAGGAGACTGAACCTGGCACTCTAAGCCTTATCTGAATGAGAATCTGGTCGGCACAGGGTAACAGCTAGAGACAGTGCCAAACATTTCCCCTCGGGACAAACACCAAAATAACGAGCAAAAATAAAGATCTTCAAGATCCTGAGATCAAAGGTACATGACCGGCGAGTGATGGCCAGGCCAGGCATTGGGCTCAGCGTGGGCAGGGACAGCCTTCTGGTCACTCTCAAGACAGAACAGAAATGTTTAGCAAGAATTTAATAAAAGACATGTCAGTGGAAGGGGCCACAAATGATGAATAAATCATGTACAATGTCAGAAACAAATAAAAATAATCCTCCCTTCAACTGGATGTGATGGCATCGGCCCATAATCCCAGCACTCAGGAGGCTGAGGCAGGAAGATGCTGAGTTCCAGCCCAGCCTGGGATACACAATAAGACCTTGTCAGAAGGGAAAAAAATAAAAAAAGAATCTTGCCTTCCTGTGATAAAAATGTGTTTTGGAGCCAGGGATTTAGCTCAGTGGCACCGCAGCCTGCCTTGCAAGTGCAAGGACCCAAGTTCTATCCCCATACCAAAAGCAAAACAACAACAAAAAATAGTATATTTTTAGTAGAATATGTCATACCTCTCTTGGCAGTGAACTTCAAAAATCTAAACTGGAACTAGTAGAGAAAACAAACAATATATACAGGAGAGTCCCTGGGAGTAAAAATAAAAGATAATCCTGAAAAGAAAACACAAATGTAGATAAACACAGACACAGGTACAGATAAGATAAATTATACTTAATTGTTAATAGGCAAGTTCTTTTTTTTTTTTTAATAGGCAAATTCTTAAAGCTTCAAAGAGACTCGCTGGTGATTTAGCAAGGTCCTGAGTTGAACCCTGATCCTGATACAAAAACAAACAAAAAGAGGCTGGGTGCCTCTTATCTCAGCACTCCTAAGGCTGAGGCAGGAGGATTGCTGCAAATTCAAGGCCAGACTGAGCTGCACAGTGAGTTCAAGGCCAGCCAGGACTACCTAATGAAACCCTGTCTCAAAATAAACAAAGAAAAAGTATATAACCATTGAAATTTCAAAGAGACAAATTTATGTGAAAAAGAATTTTATATATTTTGCTAATAAATTTTTTCTTTTACTTTGCAGTACTCAGCATTCACCCTAGCTCCTTCACACAAGCTACACCCCAAGGCCATTTTTAAATTTTTAAATTTTGAGACAAGATCTTGCTAAGTGGCTAAACTGCCTAGGCTTGGACTTGCATTTACAGTCTTCTTGCCTCAGCCTCCCAGACTGCTGTGAGTACAGATATGAGCCACTATGCCCAACTTTTTTCTTTTTTTTTTGGTACCTGGGATCAAACTCGGGTCCTTGCGCTTGTGAGGGAGGCAGTGGAACCACTGAGCTAAATCTCTGGCCCTTTAAATTTATATTTCTTTATGTGGTAATACTAGCTGGGGAAAAAAGCAGGCTCAAATAAATGTATTTAAACATTTACCAAACTTACAGATGCACGCAGTATCATGCTAAACACTACAGGGACACATACAGCTGCTCTTTGCTCCCAAGACACAACTTGGTAAGTGGGTAAGTAGAAAAACGGCTAGCAGAATACGTGAACTGCCATAGGAAAAGAAATACACTAAGTCCACGAGTTGAGAGGGACCAGTCTGCTTTTTCAAAGCAAGCAGCAAAGACAGTCACTGATGGCAGCTGAACTGAGTTCGGAGGAACAAACAATTTTGACAAAGAATTTGAGGGACACGAACATTAGGACCCGGAGTACCCACCCACACCTCAAAACCAACATGTGCAGGACCCAGTGCATGCATTTCCACTTCCACTGAGTGCCTGGGGGTGCAGCAGGGGACCCCAGGGTCTCTGCACCAGCGAACCCTGGGCTCCCATGTTTCTACTTTGAGACCAGGTCTCACTAAGTTGCCTGGGCTGGGCTCAAGCTTTTGAGCTCCCCAAGTGCTGCAACTACATGTGTGCGTCACCGTGCCTGGCTATACTGTCTTTTAAAAATCACTTGCAACTCCTCTATTTCCATTAACTGTGCTAGCATTCTCCCAAGTTGCTCAGGCACAAAACCCTGAAGCATCACTGTCTGTTTTTGTTCTTTATTCTCTTTGTTACTCTTCGTTCTTCCTCACTTTCACATCCTGCCCTGTCCTGCTCTGGGGCTCCTGTACACACCTCACCACACCACTCCGGACTTCCCTGGGACCAGGTGGAGAATTCCAACTGAGATGAGCCCAGGCCCTGGGGGCCCAGGCCGGGACATGTCAGTGCCTCTTCTCGTGCCCACAAGGCTTCACCGGCATCTCTGCCACTCATCTAGCGGCAGGAAGGGCCCTGTGACAAAGCCATCCCCCACTGAGGCACGGGAAGACAGCTCTGACCTGCTAGCCTGAAAGTTTAGGGCAAGGTTAGTCAAGGCATCGCATCCTGGAGTTAGCTCCAAAATGGGAAGAAAGGGGTTCTCTGAACAGACGGGTGATAAGTGACAGATAAACAACACCTTGGAAATGGAATCTGAAGTGAAAGAGTAGAGACCTCGTTATTTTACCTTCGAGGATAACTGTGCCCAGGCCTTCTAAAAACAGCTCCAGGTGAACCCCTGCAGGACACAGTGAGATGGCAGCCCAGAACCTTGCACACAAAGGCTGCTAAACGAAACGGAAGCTGCACTACGCCTCAGTGGCGGTGCACATGCTCACACTCACAGGCCCTGAGTTCCACCTCCAGCACAAAATGCGATACACAGAGAGCACGTGAGTCTAACATATTACAGCAATACCTGCACCCCCAGTGAAGTCCCTACTATGGTCTGCTGATTGGACCACAATCAACTGCTAATCTGGATATTTGTTTTTGTTTTTGTTTTTGAGACAGGGTCTCACTATGTAGTTGAGACTGACCTGGAACTCACTATGTAGCCCAGGCTGGTCTCGAACTCACAGCGATCCTCCTGCCTCAGCCTCCCAAGTGCTGGGATTACAAGCGTGCCCACCACACCGGCTGGATATGGTTTTGAAAAGAATCTTCCTCCTAACCAGCATTAAATAGGCCAAGTTTAGCACACTAGCAAGTAAAACTCAAAATATTTCATGTTGCTACTGCTGTGCTAAACAAAATATTGATTTTTAACAGTTCCAGGTGCAAAACCCAATCCCAGGCTGCAATAAACTGGGAAGTTTTCAATTAGCAATAACCGCGCCTCAGATAAACCTCAGTGGCTATGACACTGCCACTGTGCAAAGCTTCAGGTTGCAGTAAAGTGCAGAGCAGCAGGGACAGGTCATCAAGGGTGAGATCAACACCAGTACAGCTGCAGCTGGAGGGGTCAAGGCTGTGAGAAGTAGCGACAATGTGAACAACTATAAAGTGTGGACCTGCGCCTTCTAGAGTTACACGGCACTTCCACAGCTTTGGCCCGAGCCGGCAGAGGCTACACACTTCCCTGGCACGAGATCTACACTGGCACTCCCATGCAATTAGAGCAGCACTTAGCACTCTGTAAGACAAGATTACTGGACAAGTTCCTTCTAGCTTCTGGTACAACTGCTCCCCTATCTGTCCCTTTTCCATGCCTCCTCTCCCCTCCGTTTGTAGTAATAATCCTCCCCTTGGAGTAAGTCTGAAATCTCAGGGTCCAGCCTCAACTGGCTCTTCAGAAACGTTTGTAAAATGAATTATTGTCAAGAAACTACGTGGGGGGGGGATCTCTTGAGACATAAAAAAGCTTACCAAGCATGCATCCTGCCACAGCTGTAAGGGGGGGCATGCTGTCATGAGCTCCTTGAGAGAGGTCTGGGGTGAGGAAAGGGGGCGCTCAGGAGCACAGGCACATTCTGCTGCCGCACCAGGCCATGGCTCCACACCATAGCACTGCACAGGCCTCACCTTTGGGACAGACAAGCTTCTTGCCATCTCCCTAGAATCTTGAGCTGGCCCAAAGGTGGAATTAACACAGAGGAGGAGCTGGGGAGTGGGAGGGACAAGCAACATTCACACTTCTGATAGTTCTGAGTCGCATTCACTGGTGCCGGGCTCTGTGCAAGAAGGGCGATATTATACCCATTTCACAGATGGAGCAGCTCAGAGTATCCTAGCAGTGTCCTCACTGCGCACTGCAGACCACTCCCTGTCTACACTTCCAGTCACCATAATTTAAAGTGACGATGCCTGCAAGATCCAATGTAGAGCAGCATCCTTGCTTCACCTCCAAGGCACAGGCTCACCTTGCTCTCTCCAAAACAAATCCACCTTCTCAAAAAGGCCTCTAAGGGCTAGGGATTTAGCTCAGTGGTTCTGCCACCTGCCTTGCAAGCAGAGGGACCTGAGTTCAATCCCTGGTACCAAAAAAAAAAAAAAAAAAAAAAAAAAAAAAAAGGAAATCTAAAAAGGCTGCCCAGACCAACCCAGCTGATCCCCCGCGCCCCTGCTCTCCCACGACGCAGCCATTCCGGTCTCCTGGGGGACTGCACCTCTGACTCCCCTCGGGCGCAGCGGGGATCAGGAGCTGACTGACCTGCTGCGACTCCTGGCCACTGCCCGGCACTCGGGCTCCACAAGCTTCTCCTCTTCCACTCTAAAGTACTGCACATTCTCAGTCTATAAACTAACTCATAAAAATACTTGCCCTCAATGGGTAACTGTGAGATGCTGTAAGTGTGAGCTCTTGGCATGGTGGCCAGTGATGTTTCCCAAATACCAGAGGCTTCTCCCTTAAAAACTCTAAGCAGCAGCTATTTATAGCCATCTTGAAAGACTGCAGGGAAGGCATTTACACACATAACCTACAAGGTGTCTTCACAAGTTAAAGATGTTTACAATATGAAGGTACATCTTTAAAACTATAAATGGCTATTTTTACTTTTGCCCACACAATTTTATAATGGTAAAAGATTTTTTTTAAAAAAAGCACATTTAGGCCAGGGATTTAGCTCAGCGGTTCGGTGGCCTGCCTTGCAAGCACAAGGACCCCAGTTCAATCCCCGGGATCCCCCCTCAAAAAAAAAGTACATTTACCCACCATCATTTTATCATCATAACATCCAATCTTCACTCATTTTCTCTTTTTCATTCCAGTCCATGGCCATACATTTCCATATGTAGTAATATATTCACAATTTAGATACCAAGTGATGTTGGTCTTTTTATTTTTTATTTATTTATTTATTTATTTTTTGGTACCAGGGATTGAAGTCAGGGCCTTGTGCTTGCAAGGCAGGCAGCAGAACCACTGAGCTACATCCCCAGCCCCTGGTCTTTTTATTAATAAATATTTTATGTCACTATAGCCTTCATAATCATTTAGCCATCACATCATAGCCTATGAAACTAAGATCCTAACTTAACCACTTTCCTACTGGATAACTGGTGAGATTTTTTTTTTTAATGTTTATATTAAAATGATACTATCTAAAGCCAGGTGTGGTGCTGCACACCTATAATCCCAGCACTCGGGAGGCTGAGGCAAGAGGATCACTGTGAGTTTGAGACCAGCTTGCGCTACATAGTGAGTTCCGGGTCAGTCTCAACAACTACATAGTGAGACCCTGCCCCCAAAAACAAAACAAACAAAAAAGATAATATCTATACACACAAAGTTTTTTAATCTTTACATCCTTTTTCTTTTAAATTACTGAGTCAAGTGCTCGCTTCGGCAGCACATACACTAAATTACTGAGTCAAACCTGAGCATTCTTATGTCTAGATTGCACCACCAGCGTGAACTACAGAAGAGCTTAACAATCTACACAGACACTGCACTGGACACACAACTCTCACCTACTGAGGGGACGTAGGCCAAGTATTTCAGGAAGGCGCCCCAACAGGGACCGAGTTCAGGTCCTCACACCTGCCAGGCATGGCCACTGAGCTGAATCTGAAGCCACCTCATCTCTACATGGCTCAAATCCTACACTGCCGCTGTAGGGGTCTGATGAGATGCAACGTCTCTGAGGGCAGCCTGCCTGGCAGAAACGATCCTGGAAGCAGCTTGCACTTATACAGACAGACCTTCTGACCAGGAAGTGTGTCATCTCCAAGGATAAAGCCTTTCAACAACCTAAATAACCCACCAATAAGAGACTAGTTAAGGGCTGGGGATGTGGCTCAGTGGCGCCATGCCCACCCCCCCCAGTGCAA